GGATGACTGTGTTTTGTAGCATCACTACTTGCAGGTCGACTTCACTGATTACTTAATATAAGTCTAACTGGGAGACAGATAAAAGATTAATAACTCCCATCAAAATTATCTAGCAGCGAAATGGGTTGTAGTAAGTACCCCCTCCTCAAATTAAACTTCATAGTTGTTGGAAAATTTTCGCTACGGCAGCCTGTCAGAATGATAGCGATCAGAAATGTCATCTTTTCGTTTTTCAAACAACGCTGATGTAAAATGAATCGTTAACAGCCTTGAAAGGAAATTACTGCCCTTAGTGGAAATGCTCTCACAAAAGCGACAGAGTGCGTGTGTCCTCCACTTTGAATTTATCAGAAAAGTATAATAACTGGCCAGCGCAGCGACTGCTCATGCGGAGATGCATTTTTTTGTACAATTCCCCACAGGTTTTTGTCATTAATGGCACTGTTTCTTCTGGAATGTGCTTTTGTCTAAAAGAATTGAGATTGGCCACCATGACTGTCAAAAATCCCCTTAAAGCTTCACCGTTCTGGCTTCTTCGACTTCCGAATTAGCAGCTTACCTGCCAGAAATTTTCACGGAGCCGCACGTGGGAACAACGAACACCTGCGGGCTGAATTTGAAGTCATCTAACTGTATTTGTACAGGGGACATCTTATTAAGATTTCAGCTTTCTAGATTTTCTGGTTCTCGAGTTAGCAGCTTATCTGCCAAAAACCTTCACGGGTCCGTATGTGTAAACTACATAGGCAAGAGCGTGCATTTTGGGAATAGGGGCCTGAACATGTGCGTAAATTAAGTTCCCAAAATTTCAGCCTTGTAACTTTTGTAGGTCTTCAGACGAAAACAATACAGACGCAGACAGAGACACACGCACACACACAGCCAACCCTCTCAACAGTATGCTTTTTTGCATTGCATAGATGCAAAAAACGCATAAAAATATGAAAGTGTAGGAAGGGTAAAAACTTGCCGGGACTTTTCATTCTTGCGCCATAGGCCACAAACGAGATATTCATCGGTATTTCCTGCTTGTATCCTTCAACTGATACCGACTGCAATGATATGTGCAATGATATGTGGGCAAATTTTAAGAGCTTAAAAACAGAAACCAATTAGGGACAAATAAATTTCACCAGTATTAAAGATACGCAGTTATTCCACAAATATTCCGACTAAATAAATCTGTTTTGAAACTATCCCAGAATCTTTTTACAATCCCACGTTCAATCAGTCAGACCGCCAGAACCATCGGTGCACAGCCCTTAAAACATTACTGATTCGTAGCAGTCGTACGCAACTGCGGCTCATCTCTCCTTCAGTCTAAACTATCCACGTTTATTAACTGAAAGCACAATTTAAACTGCTCAGATAACGAAGACTAGATCAAAAGCCAGAGCTGTTCACATACCTTTAAATGCCCGGTTACTGGATCAAATGCTGCCGTTATGAGGCCGTTCCCAAATGCGAATTCCCTCAGTGGCTCGATCACGAAATTACTGTAAACAGGTCATGATTTAAAAAACTTAAAACGGTTGGAGATGTTGAATCCAGAACTAATAATGCGCAAAAAAATGAATATTAACAGATAGAAAATTACAGTGCGGAATTCGTACAAACAGAAAGAACTAGAAAAGAGCATTTCCAGAAATCTTAACGAGGCGACATGCAACAGATAGGAAAATAAAGGCACAAA